CGAATCCGGTGTCCGTTTGACGCGATTAGGTCTGGTTTAAGGTCAGTTCAAGGTCAAATGTAGAAAAACAATTGTTAACAAACTAAACCTATGTATCTACGCGTTTTTAGGATCGCCAAATCCGAATCCGGTGTCAGTTTGACGCGATTATCTCTCGTTTAAGGTCAGTTCAAGGTCAAATGCGGAAAATCAATTGTCAACAAACTAAACCTATGTATGTATACGTTTTTGGGGCCGCCGATTCCGAATCCGTTGTCTGTTTGACGCGATTAGCTCTGATTTAAGGTCAGTTCAAGGTCAAATGTAGAAAATCAATTGTCAACAAACTAAATCTACGTATCTATCCGTTTTTGGAGTCGCCGAATCCAAATCCGGTGTTCGTTTGACTCGAACAGATCTGGTTTAAGTTCAGTTCAAGGTCAAATGTAAAGCCATTTATGTTGTTCGTATTTGATCCTATGTAAGACTATCCTCAAAATATGGCACTCTTGTTTCAATGTGCGTTAGGTTTATAACATCCATGATAAAGTGATTTATCCAACAATATCATTGTAGTAACCTAAGGAAAATTCTTCATCGTTAGAAAAATATTTCTTATTTCAGTACTGATAATAAAACGATTTCACTTTTCCGGCTTGCTTAGTAATTTTTTTAGCCATGATATTAGGAACTCTACTCCATTCTCTGCCAGGCCCAAATCTCGAACATCATTTACTTTTTTCTTGTGATATTGTTCCTGTCTTTTTCACAACGTGATATGGAATATATTCGTCATCACTAGATCACTAACAATATCAGTGATAGTTTCATTGCCACCCAAATTTCTCCCTTCTGTAATATCTTGGTGAAACCTTTCTCTCTGCTCAAACCCAATCAAATTTTTCACTTAGGCTTAAAACCAATATATTTATATAAGTATCTTTCGTATGTTGATTGATCTATTTCTATTAGAAAATATTTAATAGACCTGATCGCTTCAAACGGACATCAGATTCGGTTTCAACGACCCCCAAAACGTATAGATATGTAAGTTCACTTTGTTTTCAATTGATTCTCCACATTTGACCTTGAACTGACCTCAACCCAGATCTGATTGAGTCAAACGGACATCAGATTCAGATTCGGCGATTCCAAAAACTTATAGATATGTAGATTTACTTTGTTGGCAATTGATTGTCTACATTTGACCTTGAACTGAACTTAAACCAGATCTGATCGAGTCAAACGAACACCGGATTCGGATTCGGCGACTCCAAAAACGTGTAGATACGTAGGTTTAGTTTTTTGACAATTAATTTTCTACATTTGACCTCGAACTGACCTTAAACCAGAGCTAATCGCGTCAAACGGACACTGGATTCGGATTCGGTGACCCCAAAAACGTATAGATACATAGGTTTAGTTTGTTGACCATTGATTTTCTACATTTGACCTAGAATTGACCTTAAACCAGAGCTAATCGCGTCAAACGGACACCGGATTCGGATTCGGCGACCCCAAACACGATACATAGGTTGAAAAATAGATACATTGGTTTAGGTTGTTGACAATAGATTTTCTATATTTGACCTTGAACTGACCTTAAACCAGAGCTAATCGTGTCAAACAGACACCGGATTCGGATTCATCGACCATGTGGATACCATGGTCTTGTCTTTCGGACCTGCCACTTTTTTTTTGTGGGGCTGTGTAGTTATCTAAATCAGTTTTAAATTTCACTTTCAAAAGCTATATGTATATGCAGAAAATGTTGCTAATCGAAATATAGGTTGAATTCTAAGTTATACACAGTATCGCATATATACTAATTAAATTAGCATCTGACTCTGGCATTTTGTAATAATTGTTTTTCATATTTGTGTTTATCGACGAATTATTATAGAAAACTATAACAAATGTCATAGCCTAGAAATAAAAGATTCATTCACACGTAATTTTAACTTACCGGGAAATGAAAAGTATACAAAAAAATTAAGTAACTCCTACAAAAATATCTAAACTGTGACATCTTTGTTTGTTTTTTTATTTATAACAAAAATAATCATACAGTAACAAGCTACAAATGTGAATTCGAGCCTTCATTAACACAATTTGTAGTCATTTGGAAAAAATTCAAACAACTACACAGAACAAAAAATATTAAATATTACGGAGAGGTAATGCTAACTAAATGTATAGTCTTAATATTAATTATTTGCCAACTACGCGAACAAGTCAGTGCGTGTAGACGTTCGCTCCGTTTTGTGATACGCTTTGCTATTTGCATAGGTGAATTGTTGCAAAATGGCAGATCTTCGCCAATGTTCCTGTGAGTTTCTGACATAATTTATTGACTTGTACAAAAGTTTCCCGTGTTTTTGGCATATGAACCACCTAGACTGGCTTATAGAGCGACTTTGGTGAAAACACTTCGGAGCCTGATTTGGTGCCCAGCGCCCAGTTGTGTCCTAGTATTTGACGTGTACGCATCGCTGTGATTTCGATAATTAGACGTTTTATCATGGGCAAGTGTATTGTAAAACATTGTATAAATAGAAGTGATCGAGTTGGTGAAGAGAAGCGAAAAGTTTCCTTCTTTAGGTAAGTAAAAAAAAGGAATATATAAAAGGTAAATATGTACGCCATTTTTCGGTTAACGTCACAAGTTTCCAGGGTTAGCTTTATAATTTTGTTCGCCCACATAGTGTAGTGATTAACGTGATATTGTTATTATAAAATAATGAATGAATTACTGTAAAATATTTTTAGTAATTATTTACTTTATGTGAGTCTTAAATTTTTATGAAATTTTACCAATTCCCGTCATTTCGAGATAGCTGAAAATTAATTAAATATTTTTTTCAATTAAAAAAATCGCAAACAAAACTAATTTCAGATTCAGTATTCGTACAGTCAATTAATTTTTATTAAAGATCGTGGTTGTTTGACGTATCCATCTCGAGATGTCGTAGTAATATGCTAAGAAACAGAAAAATTAATAAAATTTTTAAATAATGATGAAAGCAGAACACCTAGGCTACAGAAAAATAAAATTGTTTATCATGTATTAAAAAACTTTCTGAATGTGAACATATTTGAAAATTTGCATGAACATCAATTTGATAATTTGCCTAACAATTGTAATCATTTAATAGAACTTGTAAGGGCTGAATGTGAAAAGTATATCGATGTACGAATAAATCATGAAGTCAAATTATTTAATTCGGTAAAATCTACGAAAAGACAAATATTAAATAAATTAATATTATTTAGAGGATAATAAATATATTTAAATTATTTTGTAGTTTTATTTAATATGACACTAAAATATACTATTTTCTGAATTACAAACTTAAAATTGAATATTTGTCATAAGATGCAATATAATGTTTAATATGTAATAAAAATATTACTTAATCCGGATCTGCTTAAAGATGCGCGCTATCAGATTTTCTTCCAAACTCCACTTCCCCGGATTTTGCATTCACTGGTACCCGTGCATTGGAACTGATACGGCCAGTCTAGGTGGTCTGTGGTGCCAATGCATATGAAATTTTATTTGAAAAAAGGTTGAAGCTGCAGCAAATAGAGTTATAAAAAAAATATTTGTTTCTTTCTTACAAGACATACCTAATGCAAAAATTGATAAGAGCAGTACTTCGTCCATGATCGATTCCGCGAAAACTGAGTAAATAAATACATACATATCTGCACTGTGCTCTACGTTCTTGATTTGCAACGTTTTCATTCCGTTTTATGACTGCGCAGGTAAAACGTTGTGCAAAACCTAGAGTCTGGACCCGGCTTTACTATAACTCTAAAGATATTTTCAAAAGTACCTTGGATCTATTACTTAATATAGTTCCAAATCTTTGTCTGGTGATATAGAAAGAAGAACATATTGCAATAAAGGCGTATTTCGTCTATGAAATGTTTTTAAAGCGCAAAATTTGCCAAATGGTGATTTTTTATGCATTGTTTACAAAATTTTATAAATATTCGGAAGATTTAGTATTTAAATATTATTAACATTATCGATCGAACATCTCTTTGAACACAACGTTGAATTCTTTGATAGGAAAATACTGTAGTATCAAGCGAAGGAAAAAATGGAGTTACGACAGACTCATAGACGTGCTATTTTCAGGCATAAGAACGGGAGTTGTGGTAATTAATGGCATATTTAAAGCATTATTTTTTCTAATACGTAGTTCGTCAGTGTGCCACATGACTATCTTTTAAAAATCGGATAGTAGAAGAAGAATTGGATGTAAGAAGGGGCAAGCTAATTTTTGCTGGGATACCTTCAGTACAACTCACATAATAAAAGTGTAGATCCCTAGATCTGGGCGAGTTCCGGAACATTTTCAAAATTGCAAAAATTTAAAAAAATATCTATTTTATCTGAGTTTTTTACTTATATCTTGGAACCTATGCATTTCGCAAGAATATCGAAGAGGAAAAAACTAAATTGCTAATTGTTTAAAAATTAAAAAAAGGGTGTTAACTTTAATTAACTGTGGCCGTCCCAATCAACCGATTTCAAATTTTCAAAAACCATTTAAAAGAGTTGAGCGGTCTTTTCTATGTGAAAAAAGGCCAAATTCATACGAGCCACCGAGTGTCTCTATCGAGCACTGCCATTCGGAGACAACGCAATAGCATGCTCTGAAATACATAAACCACCAAGCAGTCCTAGATTCCTGAACGCAAAAATAAGAACGATTTAAACCAACTTACATCTACACAAAAATAAACGCTTACTAAGACATAGCCGTGTGATATCTCGAAATGTTTTGACATAAAACGATTTGATTTTTACTTGACACGTCTTTATTTATTCAAGTATATGTAAAAAAAAATGAATATTTTAATTGATCATAGAATTTTTGGGGATAGTTTTGGTGGGATAAGTATCGACACCTAACACCTAGAGTTTGTCGCGACAAGCTAATCCTATATTTATACGACTTAGTCGTGTCATCTTAAAAAGTTTCATTTCGTGATATTTGAAAACTTACCGCATATGAGTGCCAGTCCGAAGAGGTCGGTGTCCAGCATGCCCTGCTGGGCGAAATGGCGGCATGTCTGGTGGTAGAGCTCCCTGACCCTGGACTTGGCCTGCACTATGAAGTAGAGGGTCTGTTGGTGCAGCAGGTGGAGCGCCAGAAAGCGGGCCGACGGGGGAAGCGCTGCTGCCGGGCTGCACGCGGCCAGAGGGGCGCTCACCGTGCACAGGCCGGCGCGCATGACCCGCTCATCTCTTCAGGGAGGCCGTCCGCTCACCTGCGGAATCAGAAGCAACTTGTAGAGAAAAAAAAATACGGTTTTGTTTAACAGAAGTTTAAACAATATTGTTTCAGAAAATTTGCAGTATTTCGATCAACATAGTGAGAAATGTAACATCAAAATATGAGTATTCCTCAGGGATCCATTTCAGGCCCCATTCTTTTTCTTTTATACATAATTGCTATTGAGCAGAGAACATGCCGATGACATTTCTCTAAATTCTAATATGATGAATTGTACTGTAAACAAATTGTGACGTCGTTAAATATTTTTTTCTCAACACGTTTTATGTGAATCCTAAGAAAACTCAGGTTATATGATTTCACAACAGACACAAGGAATGTGATAATTTAAATACTTATGACAGTAATAAGCTTAAATGCGAGAAAACTTTTAAGCTTCTTGGAATTCACTTAGATGAATGTCTTAACTGGAAATATCATTATGAAATTTTAATATCTCAAATATTTTCTTTGATATGTTTATTTCGAAACCTTATCCCATTTTTAAGCAAGCTAAGATTCTAATGTAAACTTATATCAAACATCTAAATGTTAAAAATTGCTTCCAAATAGGCCAAGTTTCCTTCCCAGTGGCGAAGCACTTTGTCTTTTTGTATTACGTTACACTGCATAGGAATTTACACTATAACTCTTCCACCCTAAGAATCTTGAGAGTTTGATTTCCTTTTTTTCTAATTCTATTTCATCTGGTTAATTGACTTCACCCTTGTTCTATAGAACCGTTAGCTACAGTTCCTCTATCTAATATAAATCCATCACCGGTTTCTAATAGGGCACTCTTGTTTTGAACAAGATTTATATATGACTTAACAAAACAATTACAAACCACAAAACAGTTAGATACTTAGATAACTTTCCACTTCACACAATGCGGTGTGATCATATATCCCACAAAGTATGTATCTATATTCTCTATTCTCATCCAACTAGAAGAAGCGTATAGTCGATGGTCGATGCACAACGGACTATTATTTATGATTATAACCGAGCGGTGACGATCACTTAACCGTTACAAATCGCGTTTACATGTTAAAAACGGAAACATTATGAAAAACAATTATTCTATTAAGACAGCTATATACAGATTTAGGTAGGTATTAAGTGTTCCTTAATATACAAATGAAACATCAAGCCTATAAACACAATAATTTAAAATGTATTAAGTGCATTCCAGTTAAACTCAATGAATAATTAGTATGAAGATGACTGTTTTATTAAATAAAAGTTGTGTATTTCTTATAACATGTTTTAATATGCACTATACATATCATTCTAGAGATATAGTTTAATAAGCCCATTTCTTTCCGTGTATTAATACATTGTTATAAAAAATTTGTAAAATTTTTCATTGTTAATATAGGTACATACAATGTATGTATCAACAAAAAAGTTGATTGAATCCGAGATTGAATCACGAACGAAGAAAGCATGATATTAATGATATTATATTTAGTCAGCAGTGGTCATTAAAATCACATTATTTTTTTCTGTGCACTAGAGCTAGTGGTACTGATACAGATAGAGACGAATCTGTGGATTTATTTAAATAATGCAAAAATATACGTTAAACCACTTCCCCTTGATTTCACGTCTTAATCTTCATGAAAACATAAAGATCTCGAGTACATCAATATCTGCTCATTTATTTAATAATTCTCAAATGGTGCAATAGTTTTGCATAATTTCTTTTTTTTTCAAAAGTTTCGATGCAAAAATTATTTTCATATTGAATACCATTTTATTTAAGTATTTTGTCTACAAAATTTAGTTTCAATATCTTCATTTAGTCACATACATTTTTTTTAACTTCAATTGAAAAAAATCAAAGCCTTCCAATGCTTCGGCATTTTTAACATGTTGAAGAGTTACAAACCTTATAGAATATTACAGATTTCTGATTATACCCCGTGGACTAATATTATCCACAGCTTAGCAAATATTAGATAGGTACTTGAGCCCTTAAATGTGCAAATCTACTCCACTACTTTGCCATTGCGCATCCTCCTATAGAGCTCAAATAAATTTATTCTACCTTGTAAGCAGCTAATATAATCGATTTTTTATAGAACTGCTATGGCAACCTGGCTATAGAGCAGGAATAGAAAAAGTACAATTTAAGAAATTCTATGACTTTTCACAGAAATAGATATTTTTACACCATTCTTGAACAGTTTTTTGATTCGCTTTTTTTCAGAGAGCAACCTACTAACGTGATAGTGTTTTTAGCAGAAATTAATTCCTAATTATTCAAATCGGCAATGAAAATAAGCAAAACGAATCACAAAATACTATTATTATCGGATGTTCGAGATGAGTGCTGCGGATGGCATGACAAATCGTTATAGTTACCCTGCTCAGGAGTAGAAAACTGAAGTTAACAAGAAATATAAAACAATATAATCCACATAAAAACCCATTCGTAAAGCGTTGTATGTACACAAGCCTCTGAATGGGTTTTTTATGCAAATTAACAAAATAATACAGAGCTTCCCCGTCTATGGCCGGCCGATGTGATATTATTCAGCATTCCATTCATGGTTGAGTGCACAACAGACGGCTTGTGTAACAAATAATGCCCACAAGCTTCCCAAACAATCGCCAATCAACGAAGGGATGCTTACATTTTTAATTGGAAGGATAATAACAATAATTTGGTAAATGCGATCGTCCGAGATGGGCGCCAGTCGTGGCATTCAAGAATGTTACCTGATGACCTTCAATAGTCAACCTGGGCGTGTATTTGTGTACAAATATATGAATGTGTGTGTTATTTACACACGTAAGAATTTTGCTACCAACAGTGTTTATTTTGTGATCATTTTCTGCAACCGAGGGAACAAATTGTGTTTTTTATGTAAAAAAAAATAAATAATCTTGTATTAAATAACATGTCGCGAATAAGCTTTATTTCAAACACAAGGTAAGTTACTAGTTTATCTATTTTTTTACAGAAATAGAAAGTATTTGAAGTAAATGAAATACAGTGAACAGGGTGCAACAGTAACTTTACGACAAACTTTCTAGTCTGACTTCACCTGTCAAAACAAGCATGAAAAAAAACAAGATTAACATTTTTTCTGAATACGATTCCTAAGGGCTCTACGATCCTTCAAATTTAAACGTGAATCATAGTTTTCGATTAATAACCGTCAAAGATAGTCTTCAAACTTGGTATATTGTTGCTCACTCATAATAAAAATGTAAAATTTGAACAGACTGATCAATAGCTTCGCAATTATTATTATTATCTGAGAAGTTTCAACAAAAAAATTAAACAGGCCAGATCTTACAAACCGTACCGCAAATTCACTTCAGAATTTGACAGAGTCATCCAGAACCGAGTTTGAACGTCGACTTTGTTTTTTCTTGGATAAGTAACAAGGACCAAGTTCCTATTCAGTACAAAATATGACACGGCATTCTCTAGCATTGTATTACGTTTAACTGCTATACACTATTAATCAAATATTAAAAAATATATATAATCAATAACAAAATTGTTATAAATTGTTAGGTTCAGTTTAGATCAACCTAGTGTTCATATTCTCCATTATAAATTATAGACCTGTGGTTGGTACAAAGGAGCTCTTTAGTTAAACCTAATGAAAAGATACGGAAAGTGTCAAAGCACAATAAAGTGCCAGAAAACGAAACACTGAGAAAAAGATCTGTTGAAAAGCCTCAGTGCAAAGTGGCATCGAAAGGGTGTTCTGCAAATTACAGGTAACAAAATAAAACGTGAATTTGTGTAATTTAAGTAATCCTGATTTACACCTGTGCTGCTTGATAAAAATACGTCCAATTTTGTCTTTTGGCCTATTGACCATAAAAAAGAAACTAAAAATTGGTTCTACAGAAACAGTTTATCCAAATCAAGATTGCGACATTAAATACTTTGTTTGAGAGTGGGAACCCTTCAGATGTAATTCCGACGCCATTCGTTCGATTTTATTCAAATATTACATGAGGAAACTCGACAGATGAACTGTACCAACATTAAATCAAAAAGTGCGTTTCACGAAAAATTTTCAAAGGATTATTGTGGAATCTTTAGGAATCAGTCTACAAAAATACAGTACTACTTTGTCGTAACATTCTATACAGGTATGCAGTTGCACAATCTTATATAAATGTTTTAAAATGATTATAGGGTATAAAAATAATAGGTACAGTCCTTCCGAAGTCAGTTGAACATGTAAAAAATCGTCTGGCAATAAAATTTAATGTCTTTCATAGGCGTCGTTAAAACAGTTTTCTGCTAAAGGTAAAAAGTTATAATAATTTGTATATAATGTGTAGAAAATTTCTATTATATGTTCATTTGGCGAACAACATATTTTAATTATTTATGTCCTCAAACAATTTTATTATATTGATGGTAAATTTCGTTTTGTTCCGTTTCAAAAGGTACCAAAATGCCATGTTGTAATAATATTTTTCTCCCTTTCGCAATAGTAATATCAATGATTAATAGAAGGTGTATATAATAAATTAAAATTACCTGAATTACACCAAATTCCGCATTGCTGCACTGCACTACTGGGCAATTTGTCAACCACTTGTCAACAGCTGAGATTTATTGCCCAGTGGCCCCATGCAGCTGAGTTTGTATTTCGTTTGCCCGCGTTCGCATTCTTCAACTGGGCGTATACATTTCTATCCTATCACCTCCACGTTTAATTCGATCAGGCCTGTATATGGGTATGGCTAAATAAATATGGGAACAAATTTTTCAAATATTTCAATGCCGAGATGCTGCGTCAGCGACCGAATCTGGTATATACTGTCAGCTTCTTGGTTCTTCAATTAATATCGGAAATACTATATCGACTTTTTTTTAACCATTAAAAAAAATTGACATTGACATATGAGTCCAAATACGCCCTCAAAATAAAAGTCGGCAGGATTTATGTAGAAAATTACTGAGGGAACCAAATTTCAAGTGGAAAATACTGCATTCAATTAAAAGATTTT